AAGGCGGAGTGAAACTGAGAACCAGAGAAACAATAGAAAGGCGGAGTGAAACTGAGAACCAGAGAAACAATAGAAAGGCGGAGTGAAACTGAGAACCAGAAAAACAATAGAAAGGCGGAGTGAAACTGAGAACCAGAAAAACAATAGAAAGGGACTGAAACTGAGAAGCAGGAAAACAATACAAAGGAAGTGAAGCTGACGTCCAATAGCTTCATCTTTGGCTTCATGTCTTGGACTGGAGTTCTTACTCCAGGTATATATTCAGTATATGGAGCTCACTGGTGACACAAAATACGTGACGTCATAACAGGCGATCCGTTTACTAATTGAGCTAACACGAAGTTTCTGTTTGTGCACATGAGTGAGAAGTGAATTAACCTGAAGTTCATGCCCTATTCACAGAATAGGGCCTGACACAAAACCTATCTAAACTGTGGGATTCCCGTCCATCTGGTGGACGGGAAATCTGATTGGTTGATCAGCATCATGAAGGATTTTGATTGTTTGCAAGTTCATATAAACAACAGTTTTAAAAATAGCTCGGTCAAGGGCTCAAAAGGCGACAATTAATATAAAGGTCAAACGCACGTAACAAATTCCATTATCGATTTCTTCGAATTTCTTTTCTTTTATGCTTTATGGCAGAAAATAAATCAAACAAACAGTATTTTGAAAGGGCTTTATCAAAATCATTGACGAAGTACAATCTGTGATTGGAGCAATACTAACAATATGCGGTTGAATGCCAAGAAAACCAAAGAATTTCGTGTATCCTTTTTACAATCTGAACCTGAATTTGATCATCTGACAATAAACGGTAGTCCGCTTGAAGTTGTTGATAGTTTCAAACTCCTGGGTATCACTCTAAGCAGCGATCTGTCCTGGAACATTCACGTTTCAAACATATCTGCTAAAGCAAGCAAGCGACTATATGCCCTACGAATCCTGAAACGCCATGGTGTTCCAGTAAAGAATCTAATCTCCATCTTCTGTTCATTCATTCGTCCAGTGCTTGAGTATGCATGTCAAGTTTGGCACTCATCTCTGCCATTGATGTTATCAGATCAAATCGAACACATCCAAAAACGAGCTTTAAAGATTGTGTTCCCACATCATTCATACGCTGAAGCCCTTGATAAAGCAAAACTAAAAACACTTCAAGAACGAAGAGAAATTCAGTGTCTGTCCTTGTATCAATCTATTTTAAAAGATGACAATAAACTAAACAAATAATCTTCTCCCAAGTCCTATTACACATAAGTATAGTTTAAGGAATCCAAGGACATATCCTCTATTTAAATGTAGGACTGAACGTTTTAGAAATAGTTTTATTCCGTACTGTGTTGCAAAGTGGGATTCTCTGGGTAGTTAGTAAACTTACATGCGTGAAGATAGTATAGTATATAGTAAAGTATTATCATCGAGCATATTTTTTAAATAGTTGTATTCCAATTACGTATTTTTAATCATATAGTATTATGTAATTTCAAGTTTTTCAGATTGCCAATCATTTGATAGCAACCTGCCATTTGAAAATTTCAATAAATTCAAATTCAAATTTTGGACACACGACGCTGAAAGAACAGCCAAACTAGTAATGTATTCGAAAGCTTGTTGTTGACAGCCAAGATGTTCTGCCAACTGGCTTCGCCGGCAAAAGTCTTATTTTTAATATCAGGTCCTACCGGCGTTGTTTTCTGAGCTACATCGCCTTCTTCGTGGTACGATTGAGAATTTCATTGTTGCTGTTGTTAGCCCGTTAGAGTATATCCGTGTCCAGCAAGTTGAGACCTTGAGAAAGCTTGGCAGTCAAGCCGTGCACAGAACTGACTAATTAAATCTTTGTTTGCTGTTCGGTTAAATAGAGAAACTGACTCTTAATTGTATAAATTAAAGTACCTTGAATTTTTAAGTTTAATTATTAAAAAGCAAAATGCACACTCTGCGGACATGTTCATGAGAATATAATTTTTTTGTGTAACGACTAACGAAATCTACAACACTTGTCAATCATATCGCATGTTGTGTCTAAAAATAACATGTGGGCGTCCCACGGTCTAGACAGGTTTTGTGTCAGGCCCTATTTCAAATTAGGGCCTGAACTTCAGGTTAGAAGTGAATGCTCTGAACAATTATAAAAAAAAAATTTGTAAACTCTTTCGAGTCTGAGTGAAATGATACCATATACATATACATATATAGCTTTAAGTAACTTAAAAACTCCCATTGTCCTTCACAGAAGCATTCCATATTTTTAGTGTGCTGAAGTACGTTTCCTACCAAAAACGTAGGATGAAAAACTGAACACCTCTTTTTTTGTGCGGCAGATATAGCCGAATACTGACCGTTATAATTCACATAAATTGGGCCCAGTATGTTTTACATCTGTTCTACAATTACGAGTCTGAAAATGTTTTGTACTAATGTTTTGCAGGAAGCAGCATATAAAGGAAATTTTTATCACATTCGAATTGCTCTTGAACCATTAGAAAATGAAGAATCTGATGTTCCATATTACTTATCAACTTTCATCAAAGCTGTGAGTTTTTACTGAATTCTCTTTTTGTTAATAAATTCATTATTTTAATTATATGATATCGGTGTATCACACCATGCAGAGTTTGTCAAGATATGGTTTTCTAGAAGCCCTGTAAATTTCAAAGCTGCAATATAGAAGATTTTTGTTTGATGTTAAACTGTACCTCACCGAGCACAAATCCCTTGTCTCAACTTCATTAAGTATTATTGATCGTGGTTACACGTTTCACGTAGCTATCGATAGCTATTGGACAATTACATATATACAGTACCTACAAGTCCGATAAGGTTCATTTCTATGAAATGAAGAAAACTCAGAGACTAGGAGAAAAAACCTCGAAGAATGCTTTACTTACATTACTATCCAAGCACTGTGATGTTAGCCAACCTTGGTTTTACTGCATAGCAAGTCTCAGGGAATGAGGGAACAGCACCGTAACTACGTCTGCAATCCCAGCCTAATTGCGTACTATGCTTGTCTAGCATGTAAGTTATTTTATTCCGTTTACACACATACGTTATGTATTTTATATATGTATCCATACACACATTAAATTATAACCTGCATATTTCAGGAATCAAACTACACATCAAACCACGTGAGCCCATTTTACGAACCCCACGTACAGTATATGTCTCCACATGTACTTTTGATATTTTGGCATGCTGATTTTAAAAATAGACATGATTAAAACGACTAGATTTAGGGCCATAAATTGCGATTATTTTATTTGCATATTGGTTTTGTTTTACCCAACAACAACATACTCGACTTAATTTGCTCTGTCAGGTAAAAAGAGCATGGACTTCCAAAGAATAGCTTATATATTACACGATTACTTGGCCCACGTACTGCCCGCCGGCTTGAGCATGTTTGTGGGGATCGGAACGAGGCTGATAGCATATTCAGCACAAAACCTTGACTTTGCATCGTTGTTGTTGACAACTGGAATGTAATTTGGAGATGGACTCTAATAATGTATATCTTATCTATATTTAGTGTTCATTGGTACAGTCGAATTTCTCGGATATTATAAAACTGAATGTCGATCACACAGGTTAGTGCAGAATTATATATTAAACTATATTTAAATACTTACATTGGCCCCGAGAACTCAAATTGTTGGAGATTAATAGTAGATATACACACTAGGTATATTATATATTAACATTTGTTAGAACCCTATTTAAATTTGGGTGGGCGTGGACATTTCCGGTGAAATGAACACATGGTTTTGTGTGACTTGAGCGGGCGTGCGAGTTGGCATGTTTATTACTAACTATGGTTTTATAAAGCGAGATTTAAAAAAA